ACCACTTTGTTTGTAACTCTGTATTGTCTGTACTCTGCTTGTGATATGTTGTAAAATGTATGTCTGTTAATGTTTCCCCCCTTTTATCTTCAAAATAAAAAAAATCTATATGTTTAAATGAATTCCATGTAAAGGAAAATAAGATCCTTTGGTTATACTTACAAGAAATACACTTTAAAGACCAACACTGTTTGCAGGAAATGGAACATACAGATCAACCATAGAAATCCTAAATTAAAGAAAGTTGGCAAGGCTATGATAACATTAGATCAATTATAATTTAAAATAAGCTTTACTAGAGAAAAAAGATATTTTATGATTAAGCATCAATAATCATGGCCAATAACAGGCTTAAGTATTTTGGGACTAAAGCCTTTAAATATACAAAGTAAAAATGGAACCAAGAACTAACAACTCTGGACTCATCATTGGTTATTTAAACTCAACACTCTTCCTAAAGGAAAAGAAGAAAAGAAAGATACCATAATCTTCTACAATGTAATTAACATATGTGACTTAATTGACATATGAAACAATGTAATCAGTACCTGCAAAATATGCTTTATTTTCAATAGCAGATGAACTGTTTGCCAAAATAGGCGATATGATGGCTACAAAGCAATTCTGAAAACATTTTAAAATACTAAATTATTTCCTGTCTGATCACAGTGATGTAAAACTAGCATAGAATATATAAAATAAGTAGAAGTTCTCCAAATGTTTGAAAATTCACTGGGGCAATTTAATCCACCCAGTATAAAATAAATCTCACATTGATAAGTGAGTGATAATATCAAATGCAAGGAATATACACAAGCAAATGAGCTATAAAAACCATGTAGGGCTAATAAGTGAATAAAGCAAGCTGACAAGCATATACTACCTATAGTATTTCTATGAAAACTGAATAAAAAAGACCATGTACACACAAATACTAACTTGACAAATGGCATGCCAAACTTGTATAGCAGTATCTACAAAAGTTCCTGAAAAGTTACCAAACAAAAGCAAGATATATCATATTTAGCAATTTAAAGATAATTTATTGCAAGTCATTATTTTCCCCCAAGATTCTAGACACAAAAAATCAAAACCCCATTAGAGGTTTTTGTAGTGATTCAGATTATTTATTCCAAAATTTATCAGCAAATAGAAAGGTCCCAGGTACCTAAATTAATCTTGCAAAGAAAAAGTTAGAGGACATGTATTGTCTGATTTAAAGTATTAGCACAAAGTTACAATCATCAGAACAGTGGATGATATTGTAATAATACACCAGAGAGCACCACATTTTTTTGTAAAGGGCGAAATAGTATTTCAGTCTTTGTACACATGTGATCTATATTACAACTGTTGAACTCAACTCCACCTGTGTGGAAGCAACATAGACAACACATAAATAAATGGAAATGGCTATGTTCCCATAAAATTTTATTTACACAAATAGTGAGTGAGCTGCATGTGGTCCCAGTCTAAACTAATAAAACATATTTGAAAGTCTGTAAGTAGTACTACATTTATAAGTATAGCTTTTGACAGGATAAATAAATTAATGAAAGAAATGAATATTTATTCAACAAATGAAGCTAGAACAATGGGATAAATATAAAAATATGAAGCCCTACTGTACATTTCAAAAAACATTAAATTGAAATGGATCATACACCTAAATGTAAAAGCAGAAATTAATATGCTATTAGAAGAAAACATTGGGAAGTATATTTGCTTTCTTGGAAGTACTCAAAGGTGTTTTAGAATCCTTAAGGTACTAACCATAAAAGTAAAAAATTAACCAAGCAAATTTCATAAGCAATAAAAATTTTTGCTCACCAAAGATACTTTCAAAAAGAAGCCTCAGACAGTGAAAAATATTTTCATTAGATAAATATGAAAAAGAATTTTATTTACACTATAAAAGAAACCTAAGAAACAGTAAAAGCACAAAATAATAAAAATTGACAACAATCTTGAACAGACAATTTATAAAAAATTCATAAATGGTCATGAAGCACATAAAATGTATATTTTAGGGAGGAAATGGCACATTGTGAGTTATATTTTGGATAACTGCATCATACTAGGGTGAGGCTCTGCTTTAGTATTACCTGTGTTTAGAATGAACTATGTTCAGGAGATGTGAATGGGCACCAAATTCTGATGATTTGTAGTGTCAACTTGCCTAATCCAAAATTTATTTCCTAGGTTTATTTCCCTTTATGTTTGATTAGGGAGGGCATCAAGCTTTAGTAATTGGAAACAAAGCAACAGCCACATTGTTTTATGCATAGAAGGTTGGGGCAGATGTTGTTGCTTCCCTGTTGCCCACCTCCTTGGCATGAGCCAGCAGCTCTGCCTGTACCTGTCCTACCTATCTTTGGTAACCCCTTCACCTATTTGACTGCTTGATCCTGTGTAAGTTTAGTTCCATGGGGAAGAGATCCAAATTCTCATGCATAATTCTCATATCATCACACTTGAAGGCACTGAGAAAGGCTGATAGGGATTCTACTTGGTTCTCATGGGTTATAGCTCATGCTCCTTGGTTCGATCTTCCCCTGGATGCTTCAGTTTCCAACATGAGATAGAGAGAAGCCTTAAACACAAAATGTAACCAGAACTTGAATCTTAAATTGAGTTAGTATTGGTGAACATATGGCTGGTATCCCAACAATTCAGCACTGTTGTGGTCATGTTAAAATACCTACTCGGTACATAAATGGATGGGTAAGCAACTCTATGTACTTATGTCTGTATCTCTGTATGTATACCAAGAATTGACCTTAGGTAGTCATCTCTCGACTCTTTTACATCTACTACTTCTGTGAATGAACACTTGCAGATTCAGAATCACTAAAATAAAGATATTCTGACATCTCCACACTGTCCTGAAGCCTTTCTCCACTTTTGTCCTCTTCAGCTACATTCTGTAAGACCCTCTCCAGGGCCAACTGCAGAGACTGTCGATGCTTTCTAAAGGAGACAACAAAGAAGTAAGTGATGGGAGCGGTACTGCTGTTAATACAAGACAGAGCTAAAGCAATGATACCATAATAATCAGGGTCAGAAGTATTTACAAACCAGGACACCACAAGTAGATTAGTGCCTATGGGCAGGCCACAGAGGAGGAAGAACAGTACCATGAGCCTGACTGCCACATTCAGCCTAGTCATTGGGAACTGCCTGGAGCCAGCGAGGGTCCTGACCAGAAGGGCGAGGCTGGACCCAGAGAAAACCACAAATAAAAAGATAAATCATGCAACTGTGACGACATACAATTCAGGATATAGAGAACAGGAAAAACTAAATATCAAAAAAAAAAAAAAACAAAACAGTGTCCATGAAAAGGATGCCCAGAAGCAGGGAAAAGATCCAGAGAAAGGCACACGAGATAGCAGACATGTGTCTTGGGCGGTAACGAAGCTTCCGGATTGGCCATAAGACAGACAGACTGTGCTCTGCACTAACAGCACTGAACATGCTCAGGCCTGTGAAATAGGAGCACAGAAGCACAGGAAGTAACTCTGGGGCACCAGAGGAGGAGGTGAAACAGAAGGTGTGGAAGAAGTAGGTCACGGAAAGTATCACTTGGTTGCAGAGGAAGACGAAGTTAGCTCCAGCCAGACTGAAGATGTAGATAGACCGTGATGGCGTTCCTGCGCATGCGGAAGCCGAGAAGCCAGAGCACCACCGCGTTTCCTGCCAGCCCAGCCAGGCCAATGATGAGGACGAATGAGTGCATGATCACCAGAAAACTCCCATTCGTTTTCCTGAGCTCCATATCACCAGTAGGGACGGTTGTATGTGCATATAGTGTAATGAGTTTCAAATCACCAGCTGGGATGGTTGGATCTACATACATACGCTCTTCACTGGTGTTCCTGGGAACACAAACAAATACTGAATACAGGCTGCACGATTTCTGATTCACAGGCCCCCTGCTTTGGAGGAATTGCTGTCTTTGTGTTACAGGGGAAGAAACAGAGGATTGCAGAAATTAAGTAATTAGTGGAGGGGTGTCCTGGAAACTACACTTAAACTTAGTTCTTATTCATCCTGAGCTAACTCTTCCTGCTCTATTCGTGTTGATCTTGCTCTTACTACGGCAACACAGGTCCTCTACTGACAAGAACATATTCTAATCATATACATTGACCCTTCTCTGTCCTCTAAAGGAACTAATCTCTGCAGCAGCTGGAGGAAAACCTTTAGGAAAGTAAGCCTTATCAAGATGTTGGTCAACCTTAAAATGATTTTGTTTTAGGAACATAGCTGAATAATCTTCTTTGAAGATGGACACCAAGACTTATTAGAACACAAGGCTATTTTATGTACATATGCATATAGACTATTGCTATGTTGTGTATATCTGTGTATATGCTACATCCTATATACTGTGTAGTACAGCCTGTTACTGCAGGGGTCCTGATGAACAGAACAGTGTAACATTATATCAAGCTCAAAGGATTCCATTAAAAGGCCCAATAAATATGAGATGCATACGGGTGCTGCCAGAAAAATTTACATAGTTTATACTAAACATTTTTCTTATAATTGAGAATACACTGTAAAGTAAAAATAGGATGACAAATATATAAATCAGTGACATAGGCATGCACTGTCATCTTCAAGTATCATCTCAATCACCTCCCAAAAGCCCCTGCTGATACATGAAGTGCTTGGTGACATGCCAGATCTAAACCATAACAATTTTTTTGCTGTGCTGGGAAGGTTTTCTTCTATTTTCCATACTAGAAGAATACTTTTTTTTTTTTTTGTAATAGTAAAACAAAAGAAGTAAAGACTTCTTTTTGGAATTAAGTGGAATAGAAGGGTAAGGGGATTAATAGGAACACTATGCACTTCTGATGACCAGAACAATTAGCAGTACCCACTATTTGCCATAAAAATGATCATTGCCCAGCCAGGCATGGTGGCACATGTGTAATTCAGCACTTGAGAGGCTGAGGCAGGAGTATCACTGTGACATCAAGGTCAGCCTGAACTACATAATGAGCTCAAGGCCAGCCTGAACTATATAGCAAAAGCCTATATCGCCCCCCAAAAATGATCTTTGATCCCCACAAACAGATATATAAAAGATCAAGTTTTTAAATATAGTTTGGATGTTTTCTGGTTTTGGAACTGGGAATCAAACTCAGCACCTCATGCTTGCCACTCAGGCCCTGTGCCACTGAGCTATATTCCCAGCCCCTAGTTTTTAAATCTGCAAAAGTAAAAAATATAGTTGGGAACTCTAACACTTATTCCGGATTCAATATAAAATATAAACATGTGTTTACACAATGCACATGTGTGTATCAAACCTGTGGGCATCATTTTCCTCTGAATCATAGATCCAGAAGATGGAGATACACACAGCAGCACAGTCATCTTCTTCCCTGACTCCCCAAAGCCAGATTTATGAGGAAGCAGGCATCTTCCTGGACAATGTCGGGCATCACATTTTATTGCTATGGCACTGTCTCTGTAATTGGCCGAGGACTGAGGCAGAATGTGGGGGCCTGCAAGAGTCCTGAGGGACAGAGGCAGAGGTGGGCAACTGCCCAAGGAGACCAGGAAAGGAACAAGGACCCAGAAGCAGGTTTTGCTTTGGGAGAAAACCTGCTAAAATCACCCTCGTATCCTGAGATTGGGGGACTTGCTCAGAGGATGGGGGCTTCATTGGATTTATGATTCTTTCTTTGAGAGCGAAAGTGAGTGTCTGGGGAGGGCTTGGAAGACCTGTCAGGCAGTTAAAAACAGAAAGGGCCCACACACCTCCACCAGGGATGGCATGCTACCGCCGCTGAGAATCTGAGGGCCTCAGTACCGCCAGCTAAAACAGCATTGCTTGTGCAAACTGACCACCAAATGATTCTGGCTGCTCACTGATCTGCCTTTGCTCGATTCTTTAACAAGTTCCTTCTTGGATGATGCACATCAAGACTGCAAGGAGACAAGAGATGGGTGAAGGTTGCTCTACAAACTGCTGCTCTTCAGCCATTCTTTGCAGTGGACACTTTTCCTTCCATCATCCTCTGTGAAGAGTCTTGTCCTGTGCTCCCTATCCTGCTTTCTATATGGGAAAATGTTGTCCATTTTCCACAAACTGTCCAAGCCATGTGCTCTAGTCCAGTGGAGGCAAACCTCTGACTGGAGTGCCACAGCAGGCACACAGAGCCCTCTCTGTCAGTACACGAGCCAAGTGTATGAGTTATTTTTTCTAAACTACATCTTAATGTTGAGATTTAATTGTAGTGTTGGCAATTTTCAATACATAAGTGGGTTTTGGGTTGCAGTTTGGGCACTCGGTCTCTAAAAGGTTTGCCATCACTGCTCTCCTTTGTGGGCTCTAGGGTCAGTGAAGATCATTAACTAATAGACCTTCAAACAGAACCCATTTGAATCTGTAAAGAACATGTGTTAGTGTTATAAAGCAATCTTCAAACTTGCAAGTCATTTGATATGGCAATGCAGAACTCTGCAAACAAAGTGGAATTTTTTCCCCTGGGGGGGAGTGTGTATTCATCATGATTAATTCTACCCAGATTTTGATGTATGTGTAAATACATATAAGACCTGAAACTATTTTTTCCACTACACACAACCTCCTTTGTGCCTCCCCGACAGTCACACTGACCATTTCACTGAGAAAATGTTCCTTTCTTGTTCTTTGAGACAGGATCACTTTATGTAAATCAGGCTGGTCTTGAATTTGTGATCCTTCTGCCTCAACCTCCCTAGGGCTAGGATTAGTATTTATTTGATCTTTTATGTTCAGCAGTATTTGTTTTATGAAAATAGGTGCTCCAGTATTTGGTGTGTAAATATTTAAAAGTGCGATCTCTTCTTGTTGGATTATCCCTTAACTAACATGTAGTAACCTTCTTTCTCCTCTAATCAGTTTGAAATTCATGATGTCTGATTAAAACTGCTTCTTCTGCTTGTTTTCAGGACCCTGGTGCATGAAATGTTGTTTTCTATCCTCTTTTAGTGTATAAATATATTTTTGATTAAATGAGTTTCATGATTTTGAAATTGATTTTTTTTATCCAGTCTGCCAATCTATGTCTTAATTTAAGAGTTGAGACCAATAACATTGAGAGATATTACCAAAATGTGTTGAGTATTTATAATCATTAGATTGTTTCTCTCTTGGAGACTCTTTTTTCCTGTCATTTTGTTTTTGTTGTTAGCCATTGAGCTTGCTTGGTGTCTTCATTTCATGTGGTTTGTTAGTGTTACTGGTTTCATTATTTCTGTGCATTCGTGACTATTTTCTGAAGTGTTGGATTAATAGTGTTAGGGTTTGTAGTACAGTACGTCACCCTGTGCCCTTCTGGCCTTTAAGGATGTGTTGTGAAGTCTGTTGTAATTCAAACAGGTTGAGCTTTATATATGATTTTATGCTTTACTCTGTTTTTAAGACTGTTTTTTGTTAGATATCTGGCAAATTAATGAGGATATATCTCGGAGAGTTTCTTTCTTAATTGTAGTTTGGTATTCTGTATCCTCACTTCCATATATATTGAACCCTTATATTTGGAAAATTTTCTGCTATGGTTGATATAAAATCATTAATAATTACATCTGTGCTATATTCTAGCTTTTCTCTAACCCCAGTTAAGCTAAGGTTAATTTTTTCAATGTCATCTAGTAGCTTTTGGATGGTCTTTTCTTGTTCCCTTCTTTTTGGTAGGTTCTCTGAGTACAAAGTGTCACTATTTCTCATATAAAATTTGCCCTTTTCATATTTTGGGAATCTAAAATTTTGATGAGTGAAGAACTTTGGGATAATTGCTACTGTCTTGTTACTCGTAGTTGCAGCAGGGAACTTATCCATGATTTTTTTTTTTGCTAGGAGAAGTGATTACTTCATGTCATGACAATTCCATCTGCTTGAAGATATTAGCAGATTTACTAAAAAGCCTTATCTTTAAATATTTAA